ACCATACCCTAGAAGACCTAGGAGTCTGAAGTTCCCTCCCCCAGCCTTCTCCTAATTTGGGGAACAGGGAGACATGGGGGGACACTGATGCTCCTCCGAGCCCCTTCAGCTCACACACACTGAGTAGAGATTCTGATCTGACCCTGGCCTCATGGGGTACAAGTTGCTCCTGTGCCTCCCTGAGTTTGTTTTCTCCTGCGAATCGGGGCCACCTGTTCCCGTCTCAGAGTGGAAGATTCCCTGACATAACTTGGCAGATGCCGGGCATGTAACAAGTGCCTCTGGAGTGTGCTGCCCTGCAGGCTGTGGGTGGGACCGGTCTGAGTGGAGTGGGAGCAGGGCTGGCGAGGAGGATGAGGTGGCCAGGTCTGCCTGGGTCTAGGGGAGGGGATGGGGTTTCTGGGCACAAAGGGTGGAGGGGTGTCTCCAGATTTGGCAGGTGGTCCGCACAGGTGGAGCAGGGCAGGCAGACTCTGGGCTTGGCTGCATGGACCCAGAACGTTGCACATCTGCTCTGAGTCTGAGAACGCCACTGGCCAGGGCGTACCCTCCCTCACCTGGGCAGGTGCTCTGGGACGGCCTGCAGTGGGTGTTAGAAGGGGTCTGGTCTTGTGCCCTCAGCTGCCTCCCCTAAATGCCATCCCCTTTTCCCCTCTACTTTTCCTAACCTAAGGCAGCCCATCTCCTCTCTGCCCCTGCCCCTGGCCCGAGGGCTCCCGCACCTGCTCACTGGCGGGAGGCAGCTTGTGGGGTTCCGAGGTCAGCACCACCAAGTCATCGATGATGCCCTGCAGGTGGGTGATCTCTCCCAGCATGGTCAGCTCTCCGTTCTGAGGAAGCAGCGAGTCAGCCCCACCGGCCCTGCCGCCCACCCGCCCTGGAGAAGCAGGTCTTGTTGGGCCTCTCCTCTCACCCTTTCTTGCTAACGAATGCTGCTTTGGGGCTGGTGCAGGCGGGGCCCACACAGCCTGGATGGCTGGCGTGGTCTTTCCAGACCAAATCAGTACACGGGGAGCTACGAGACCTGCCTTTGGGCCAGGAGCATGCGGCCTTGATGCTCCTAGCCAGGGAATGCTGAGAAGTGACCTTTCTTGGAGGTCAGAAGGTCAACCCTGGGCCCAGCCCACCCCTCTGGGGTCTTCGAGTCCCCAGGAGCCCCACCACCACGGGCTGCAGGAAGGTGATGAAGGTGCAGAAGCGGCCCCGCTCCTCGATCAGCGCCCGGCGCACAGCCTGCTTCTCCGTCTCCTCCAGCAGCAGGTACATGTCGTTGACGTCTTGTAGGGCACTGTCCAGCTGGGGCTGCAGGTCTCCTTTCCCTGGAGGGGTGGGGAGGAGAGGCCTTGCTGGGGATGCTGGCCTGGCCTGCCACACCCACAAATGGCTCAGACTCTGATGGCAGCATACCCCGGCCATGGGGCTGGGTGCTGCCCTGGGGCCAGGGACTGGGGAGGGCAGTGGGGACTGTGCGGCTTGTGGAAGGGCTAGTCCCATCAAAGCAGGCAGCGAAGACAGACACACGCACAGGAAAGATGCCAAAGCTGCAAAGCCACCCCGGATCGGGGCACCTCCAGGGAGGCTCTTGGAGCCCAGGAGCTCTGCTAACACGGAGCCTCGCTGGCCTCCACCCAGGGCCCGGGATGGTGCCCCGAGTTGGGACAGAAGTGGGACAAAGAGTGTGGGGCTCAACTGTAGGCCAGGCCATGGGGACAGGAGTCAGGAGAGCTAGGGCTGGGCCTTGAGGGCAGGGAAGGGGTCTGTCTCAGTGTGAGTCCCCACTCAGCTCAGGGAGCAGTGCACACAGACAGCAACAGCGACACAAGAAGCAGCGAGAAAGAGAGAGGTGAGAGGATGATGCAGAGGAGATGATGAGATGGCAGGTGTGGAGGTGACAGGTAAGGACACAGGCCAGCCTGGTGAGGGTGGGGCAGCCAGGGCCTGTGGCCCCACCCCACCCCGGCCAACCCCTTCTGGCCTGGCAGACTGACCCAGCAGTGGCCCCAGACTCATCCCTGGCCAGGGGCCCTGGGGGCCCCAGGGGTACTGTGCCCCAGGCCCCTCCCTCGCGGACCGACCGCCTTCCTGGCTTCTCGTTGGCCCGGAGAGGTTCCTTCCAATGGCCCTGAGCTGAGGGAGACAGACAAATGCGACAAGGGCGGGAGGAGCAGCTGGAGGGACCGACATTTGACTTACCAAGTAGCTCTACAGGAAGGATGTGGGAGGAGAGGAGGAGAGACAGAGAAAGAAAGAATGTGTGAAAGACGCCGGATGGACAGAGCCACTCCTGGGGCAGGGCTGCCTGGGCCTCCTGCTGCCTCCCAGAGGGAGGTTCTGGACCAGGTCTGGGGGGCAGGGCGGCTCCCTCTGTCCCACCCAACAGGTTGGAAGGTCCTGTGTCAGGGACAGCGCCCCTTTGGCCAGGATGGGGCGCCCCACGGGGCGGCGGGGCTGTGGAGCGGGGCCACGGGGCTGTGGCTTGCGGGGCCGCGCCGGGCACTACCTTTGCGCGCCTTCTTTTGTAGCTTGAGTGTGTCGGACGACTTCTTCTTGATCTCATGCCGGGCTCGTTTGTACTCTGTGCAGAGTGGGAGAGGGGAGCGCTCTAATGGGGTCCCTGAGGAGTGGGGGGCAGGAAGCCCGGCCCCTCGCGGCCCCCACCTTTCGCGTGGTCCTTATCCAGCTGGTTGGCCGCCTTCTTCCAGTCCTCGATGCGCTCCTGCAGTGGGTTGATGAGGCTTTCCAGCAGCGCGCTGCGGAGGGAGGGCGGGTGGGAGCGCATGTCAGGGCAGTGCTCCCCCGCCCCGCCCCGCCCCGCCGCGCTGCCTGCCCGCCCGCTGTGCACTCACTTGGTGAACTGCCGCAGCTTGGTCTCAATGCTGCGGTGGCGCATGCACATGCGCGTGAGCGCCGAGCCGATGTCCCGCGTGGCCCCTGGCGAGGTAAGCGCGGTGTGGGAAAGGGCCAGCTGGGGCCTGCGCAGTCCCGGCCTCAGGCCAGGAGGGGGCGCCCCGCCCCCACCGAGCCTCAGTCCCACCGGCCCGGGGGATTAGGGGCCTCTTCCTTCTCCACTAGCTCTTCCTCCGCCATCCCCGGCTGGGAGAGGCGGGCGCCAAAGACCATTCCAGGAGCCGGCCAAACGACCCTCCTGGTGTGCCCAGATGCAGGTGTGGGAGTGTAAGCATGCCCAGGGCCCAAAGGAGCAGGAGCCCAGGTCTCTGCCACTCCGACCAGTGGGCAGAGGAGGCGCCAAGCCTAGCGGCGTGCTCACCTGCCCCCGCGTGCTCTCAGAAGGGCACGCAGGCACGGGTGGGAAGAAGCCCTAAGGAGAATCTCTGTGCGAAAGGGGGAACAGCGTGGCTGGAGGGGGGAGGGTCACTTGAGCAGCCCACAGCAAGAAGGGAATCCCCAGGGACCACTCCTGTCACCACTCACCTACTCCTGCTTGCATGCCTCTTGTGATGAGGGGCTCATTCTTTCCACGACCAGCCCATTCCATTAAGGAACGGAACTCAAGGTCCTGGGCTTGGCATCTTCTCTCTGGCCCATCCTCTACTCTGCCTTTCCAGCCTCCAGGCCCACCCTGGGGCACCCCCAACCTCCAGCCATGCCCCTCCCCACCTCGGGTGTTGGTAGCCATGTCAGCCACTTTCTGGAAGGCATCCAGGAAGGCCACAGCAGCCAGCACGGTGGTCCTGGGGAGAGGGACAATGGCACAAATGGTCAGGGGATGGGGGTGCTCTCTCTGCCTGCCCCTCCCCTGTGGGGGTGCCCTGGGCCACCTCACCTCAGCTGGGAATGCAGCTTCGTGGCCTTGGAGTTGAAGTCCTCCCAGATGGGGTAGGAGCTCTGCCGGTGAGATGGGAGAGGAAGTGAGGTTCTTGCAGCCCTGCCCCATGGAGAGGGAGGCTCTGGGCCCTCTGGGAGGGACAGAGAACCAAGGACAGAGCCACCAGGCGTGAGCAAGGCCTGTCTCTGGGAATGGGCACCTTTGCCACGCCCTGCCTCCCTGATGTCAGGATGTCTACCCTACAGGCTATAGGGTGTCCATATCCTCCCTCAGGGGAAGCGGAACAGGAAGTAAGTTTCTGTCAGGCAGGTCCTGTCCCCTTGGGGTTTCCCAGGGCCTGGCAGGGAATCTGGGCTGAGCCCAGTGAGGGGCTTGTGTTTCTGGGACATGTGCCTGGGACAGTGGCACTGACCGGCCCACCAGAGCAGAGGTACAGCATGGAGGGCAGGGCTGAAGGCACACCAGGTGTAGACTGGGGCATCCAAGGCCCCCCACCCTGTGTCCTGGAAGCTGTCATCCCAGGCTAGCAGCCGTGGCTCCCAGGGCCAAGGAGGCTGTGGCTGCTGCAGGGCCTGGCCAGCCTGCCCGGGACAACCAGGCCCTCGGCTGAATGGGGCCTTGTGCGGCCAATAGAGCCACCTTTCTCCACCCCCTTCTCCCCTCCCCTCCTGGGGAAACAGTGTGGCCTTTATCCCAGGCTGGCCCAAGGCTCCAAGTTGGGAGGGGGTTTCCCAGTGGGGAGGTCAGACTCCTGGCGACTGAGCTGTCCAGTCTGATTATGGGGCTTTTCTGGCTAACGCGTGCCCTGGGGTCCAGGGGAAACCTAAGCCCTGGCCCAAACGCCCTGTGGTGGTCTTCCTCCTTGAAGGGGAGCCCTGGGCGGGCCAAACCCCAGCCCACAAGGGCTGCTGACCCTCCCCTTTATGTAGGATGGGGCACTGGAGGCTGGGGCTCTTCCCAAGGAAAGGGGAAAGCGGAGTCCCTGGAGAGCCAGGGACTCAGAGGGAGGCTCTGCCCAGCTGCAAGGAGTGGGCTTGGGCTGGGCCTGCCAGGCTAGGAGAGTTTGCAGGGTGAGATGGAGACAGGTCGGCTTTAGGGACCTCAGAATCTCCCTCCCCTCCCAGCCCAACCAAACCAGTGTCCAGAGAAACCAAATATTTGCAAAGTCCACAGAGCTTGAAACAAGAGTGGGGAAGCTGTGGGGGGGCTGTCTCCAGGCCGGCATAGCTCAGGGCGAAGCGGCCTGGGAAGCTGTTCTTGGCCGTCCCAAGGAGTGGACTCATGCCACTGTGTCTGGGTACCCCTAAGGGTCTTCGAAAAGGGGGCACTTTCCCACTGCCTAGAACCCCACCCCACCTAGTCTTGAAGCCTTGCTAAGACCTCCCTCTAGGGAGTAGAGAAGTTGCTAGGGGCGCCGGGGGGTCCAGAGCCAGCTGTCCTGGCACCCAGAAACCTTCTTAGCTCCCGAGCAGCCCTGGGGCAGACTCAGAGATTAAAGCCTCTTCCCTGGGGAGGGGACAAGACGGGGCGCAGGGGAGGCCAGGCCATTTTCCCTTCAGCAAATGGACCCAGGTGCCTCAGTCTCTAAGGACCTGGACCCACCCCCCTCCCCACGGTAACCACATAAATGACCCAAGACAAGGAGGTACGCCTTATTTGTTTATATCTGCCTCTTCACGATAGGTCAGTTTTTCTGGTTAAAAGTAAGAGACATTGCTCCAAGAACAGCATCCTCAGCCTTCATCTGAGACAGGCCCAGGCAAACAGCCTTCCCAGCAGCCCCATGGGATGACTACCACGACTGCCCCCATTTCACGGACGAGGAAACGGAGGCCCATAGAGGTTAGCTCATTTGCCACACAGCCATAGGGTGGCCGGGTCTGGACCTCATCCTATGTCTGCCTAGTCACTGGACGCCAGGTAGAGGGGACTCCCTTACAATGCAGGGAGACAAGCACTGAGCGTCAAGGTTGGGGAGGCAGCAGGGACTGCCGGGATGCAAGAGACACCCAGTTCCGCCCCAAGCACAGTGGCTGCTCTGGAGTGGGGAGGTGAGGGGCTTGTCACTAGAGGCTCCCAAGTGGATGGGGATGAGGAGGCTCTGTCTGTCCCGGCATTGGCTGTGGTTCAGATGTGGAGTACGGGTGAGCAATCCAGCCTCCAGTTCCAGGGAGTGGGCTTTCCATGTGCCCCTGGGAAAGGGCCTGTCTGAGCCTCGTTTTCTTCACCTATAAAATCAGGAGCGGAAGGGCACCTGCCCCACCAGGCCAGTGTGGAGACTGAAGCAGACTGCCCAGCCAGCATCGCGCAGTGCCCAGCACACAGTAAGTGCTCAGTTAGCACTGGCTAGCCATACGCAAGCCCTGCCCTCTGCCAGGGGCCCCTAGCAAAGGCCTGGCCAGGCTTATGTGACACACGCCACTCTTGAGGGGGTGGGCGAAGATTATGACCGGATTTTTTGGATGGGCCAACAGTAAGTGGAGGCCTTATTCACCTTGAATAAGGTGAATTAGGCACCGTGCCCAGGCTGGGGACCTTGGGCAAGTCCCTGCTCCTTTCTGGGCTTCAGTGGGCAGCCTGACACCAGCAGGCATCTGACCTCGGCCCCTGCTCAGTCCAAGGTCAGGGCCTCCCAGGGGCCCAGGGGAGAGGGCTTTTGTGGGGTCTGTGGAGTCGCTGTGGGGTGGCCTCACGGGGCAAGCTCAGTCTCCTCAATCCGGCTGCTGCTGGTTGCCTTCCTCTGTGGAAGCCCTGCTGCTCAGGCCACCGAGGGAAAAACTAGCAGCTGCCCTCCAATCCAGGCGGTGAGCTTCCAGGTGGCCTGTCCCCTCCTCTGCCCCTGAACACGCGCCTGTGTCATAGTTAGGGGCACATCTGTCTTGGCATCATCCCAGCTGAAGCCTCTCCTGTTTTGCCTCCACATGTTGGCAAATCCTGCCCAATGTCTGGCTTGAACCTCTTGCTCTGATCTGGGCCCACTTCCGTCTCATCCCAAAGTTCCTTGCAAATCGGCTAGAGAGGGAGAGAGATGGTCCGCTTTTGTGAGCAAAATCTGCTGCTGTCTGCCGTGGTTGCTATGAGGTTGCCAATGGTGGTGGGTGATGGGGTGTGGGAAGGCCCATTCTTAGCCAGCCCTGGGATCAGCCAGGGGAGGGTGGTTTGGGTGGCCCAGTCCCCGACAGGATTCTGGAGCCAGGGCTGTGATGTCTACAGGGCAGGTGGGGACTGCTGTGGGCTGGCGGAGGGGCCCGGATGTATAGTTGTAAGAGATGGGGGCCCCCCGGAGAGTACACCATAAGGGGCAGGGGGTGGGGTCCATCTACAAACTGCTAACTGGGTAGTCCCAGGCCAGGCTGGCTTCAGGCCTCTTCCGGGGGCAGGGATCTGGCAGCTGTCCCTGGGGCTGTTGTCCTGGCAGCACCGGGAGCCTCGACCTTCAACCTGCCAGCAACTCCCACCCCTCAAGGGGCCTGTCCCAGCAGCACTGTGCTGGGTGGCATCACCCCCATCCCTGACCTGGTGGGATTCTGTGTTGTGCACTTGAGAGTGTGCAGTGGTGGGTTGTGGAGGTGGGGGCCCTTGGGAGTTCCTGTGGGTGCCTCCTTTTTTCCCCTTCTCCCAGCCCCCAAATCCTGCTCCTTCATCCAGGAAAGGGGGCAGGGCAGGAGGGCTGGTTTCTGGCCCCCATCCTATCACTGGAGCTGGGCCCTCTCTGCCTAGTCAGCCTAGGGCAGCCTTGCCAAACCTTGTCCTCGTTTTGGGAGAGGAACCCACTAACTCTCTCAGGAGGAAAAATGGGGGCTGAGGTCAGGGGCAGGGTCCAACAGTCTCCTTAATGACCTTGAGCCATTCCCAGGTCTCAGTTTCCCCACCTGGTGGGGTGAGGAATGAATGGGTAGCCGGCTCCAGCCTGACCTTAGGCAATCCTGAGGGGGGACGGGGGCTCCGAGCTAAGAGCCCAGGGTGGTAATGGGGTAGGAAAAGCGCTCCCTTGGGGTTGCTCCACCGACCCCAACCTTCATCCCGACTCCTCCCAAGGTGACGATGAAGGTCTATCCTTGGGATGCAGGGACATTCAGCCTGGAGACCTTGGAGTCCTGAAGCTTCCGGGGGGCGTTGGGGGTGGGGCGGGGCTGGGGGCAGCAGTCTCAGGGTACGGCGCAGAGGCCTAGGTCGGCGGGGAAGGAGTTAACGGTTCTCTGCTTTAATATTTTTTACTGCTTCGGCGGTGACAGCATTGTCTGGGCTCCCGGCTGTGGGGGAACATGGTGGTGGAAGGGGGCGGAGGCCCGGGAGACCCCGGACCGTTAAAGGGCCCTAGAGTCCGTCCGGGAGACAAACCCCATTCATGGTTTGGGGGTCTGGGACGCAGGGAGCCTGCGTGTGCACAGGCTTTGGGTCAGGACCCACGGGGCTACGGCGGACACCGCATGGACACCCCGACGCATGAGCACCCACACACCCAGACGGGCGTCCGGAGACACGGGCGCCCAGCAGGCGCAGGCAGGACGCGCTCAGACAAGGACACACAGACACTGCGGTGCGCGGCCACACCGGGCTCGGAAGCTCACCGCCACGCGTCCCCAGGGGGACCTGCACCCACCGCCGCGGGCCCGGTTACCTTCATGTCGTTCACGATGGCCTGGAAGAGCCCGCCCAGGGCACCGCATTCCTTCTCCGCCGTCTCCATGCTCGGGCCTGGCCGGGCCGCAGCGGCGGGGCGCACGGAGCGCAGGGAGCCACGCAGGGGAGGGGGCCAGGCCGCGCCGGCGCTCGTTCCGAGGCCGGGCCTCCCGCCTAAGTGCAGCGCTCAGCGGCCCGCCGTGCCGCGCTCCGGGGTCGCGGGCCTCCCGCGGGTGGCGCGGGCCATGTCGCGGCGCTGGCGGGCGGCACGGGGGGCGCGGCGCGGGCAGCTCGCGGTGCAGCCTCGGCGCGGGGACTGACGGTGGCGGTAATCCGAGCTGCTGAGGCTCGGGCGTCACGTGGGCGCGGCGGAGGGGGGATCGCAGGGAGGGAGGGAGGGAGGGCGGGCCGGCCGGCCGCGCGGGAGGGAGCTGTGGGAACGGCTGTGCGGGCGCAGGCCCATTCGCGGCCAGAAACCAGGGCTTTGAAATCCGAGCCCGGGCGCTGCCAGACTGGTCCGGCGAGCGGGGCGGCGGGCGCGGGTCGCGGGGCGGCGCTAGAGCAGGGTCTGCCCTGCCTACGCGGGAGCGGAATGGGTGGCTGAGTTTCGGGCTTCACAACACTTTCCGGCTTTTGGTCTGTGGTGCAGGGGACTTCCCGTGCTTCCAAAGACGGGCAGTGGGTACAGCGGCGGGATGGGATACACAGCACAGAGCAGAGCGCAGGGGGTCGTGGGGCCGCCGGTCTTGGGATGTTTCATCCCAGGCCCAGACCTTCCTCCTTACTGACCCTTCTAAGTTCTTTGACTCCTTTTACAAGTGCAAGTGGTGGTGATGCCACCCAGATGGGGTGCCCAAGGCAGGGCTTTTGAGGGGGCAGGGGCCTCAGACAACCTCCTTCCTAGCGGGTAGGGGCTCATGTCTGACAGAGCTGGACTGTCCCTGGTCTCTGCTACCTGGGTCCACGGTGGGTTCGATGCACACATGTGCATGGGGTGACAATGTTAAGTGCAGTCTGTCCTGGAGACTCCCAGGTGGGGAAACCCACCCTAGGGGGCAGCATGATGCGGGGGTGGGGAGTGGGTGGGTGGCACTCTGGGGAAGAGCAGGCACAAGCTCCTTCTCCCCTACTCCAGAGGCCAGAGGGAGCCAATTACAAGCTCATTAGGAGACCAAGCCCAGGGTTCCCAAAGCCTGGGGACAGGTGGTATCCCCGTGGGTGAGGAGGGGCTCTTTCAGCCAAAGCACTGACTGGGGCACCTGTCCTTCCCTGGACTGCTCTGGGCTTTTCCTCCCCTTGCTCAGCGATCTGCAGTGTGCATTGGCCTTTCATGCAGGAACTCCTGGGGCTCAGCTCCCATCTGCCCAGTAGGGAACTCCCATTGCCCCAGGGAGTCAGGATGGAGGCAGGATGAGAAAGGTGGATTAGAGGCTGGGGGAATGCAGGGTTTTAGGGTAGGTCGTGCGTGGTGCTGTATAGGAAGATGCAGGTTCCAGAAGCGGAGACCTAGGCTCTAGGCCCATGGCCCCACTCAGGTTGAGTAGGGGAACAGGCCCTGGGGCAACCACTTTTCCTTAGGGCCATCCTGAGACCCGATCTCCAGGACAGGGTGAGGCTCTGCGGCAGCTGCAGGTGTCAGCTGGGAAGGAGCAGGCGGGGTTGGGTTGAGGGTTTTCTGTTATTTCTTTATTGGGGTGGGGGTGGGATGCATCATTCAGATCTTTGTGCTGGTGCCTATGTGTATACAAGCACACACACATACAGGCATGTGTTCACGTATGTATACATATACACACAAGGCCAGAGCTCTGGTGTGTGGGGGAGGCCCAGCTCTTTTTCCAAGAGGGTATTAGATAGAGGTTGATTCCACAGGATGGGTGGTGTCTGAGGTTGTAGCCCCCTGCAGGGTGGGCAGCCAGCTCCGTGTGAATGCCAGGATGCAGCCGACAGCGCTGGAGGCCTTTGAGCTGGGCTTTGAGACGAGCTTGGGCAGACGCAGCAGCCTCTGGTGTCCACACTGCCCTGGGCTGGCAGGCCTAGCCTTGGTCCTGAGAGTCAGGTCCTTGAGCTCCTTGGGAGGGCGTGACGACCCTGAGTGCTTCATGGGACCACTCGGCGGGCCCTCCTCCAGCCAGGCCGGTCAGAGGACAACCCTCCGGTCCAGGTGATCCCCACGCCCACTCCGTTGGTGCCGCACTTCCAGGTGCTTGTTCTGGACCTTCTCAAAGTGCTGCAGCAGCTCTGCGTAGTCGATGCTGGGGGAGTCAGCTTTCTGGGACTTGGGGGCTGCCTTTAGACTGTCTCTGGGAAGAGGGAGCAGAAACGCTCAGTCAGGGGATCGGCTCACACGGGAGTGGCTGCTAGAGGTCAGTGGGGTCAGGGGAAGAGCTGCAGGCTGGTGGGCTCGGCTTCTGGGCATCTGTCTCAGACCTGGCAACTCTTCCTCCACAGCCAGCCCCAGAGCTGGGAAGCTCCTGAGCATCCCCCTCTTCCACAGTTGGTGGGTACAGCCCACATTGCTGCTTGGCTGTTGCCCTCAGCCTGTGGGCTGCGATGGCGCCCGGAGAAGGCATCGCATTGGGAAGCATTTCCTGTTTACGAGTGGCTCCCTTTGGGGTGAAAGCCAGGGCTAGCAGCCAGCCAGGAAGCCAGCTGGGGCCTGGAACAGGGTTGGGGGAAAAGGGAGGTGGTAGCCTGGCCC